GGAAGGAAGGAAGGAAGGAAGGAAGGAAGGAAGGAAGGAAGGAAGGAAGGAAGGAAGTCTAAGGAAGTTAAACACTCCCCTGACTGAAATCACCCTATGCTCTGGGGAATTATCTTGGACTCCAACTGAAGGATGCCAAGTTGCTCTTTCTGGTCTTGGCAAAGGCTGCAATCTAATTTTTTGTCATTCTCCTACCGCTGGCTCATATGTCACAAAAAGGCTTTCCAAGATATTTGTAAAAAGACAACCTATTTCACACTGAGCTGGGAAGCTTAGTTGCCATGTCTTTTTTAAAGAAATAAAAGAAGATTATGGTGGTACTGATTTATTATTGTTGTTGCCTTATTCGTTGCGCACTTCCAGATGCACACAACAGTGTACACAGCATCCCCTCCTCTATTTTCCAACAGGAGCATCCCTTTAAGGTAGATTGGGCTGAGAGATGATGACCAGCCCACAGTCACCCAGTAAATTTCCATGGCTGAAGGTGGATTTCAAACTATTCCAGTAATGTAAATTGATGAACTTCACAATTCCCTTCCAATTCCACAGGTCCTTCCATGAATCCTCTCTGCTGGAAAATTTTGCTTGGCGTTTCATTTGTAGGAAATGTGATCCTGGCTGTGCTTTTGATTATTCTCACTGTTCCAGGTAAGAAATAGTCTGCTTTGTTCCTTCAATCTGTCATCGTTCTCTCCTGCTACCATACAGAGGTGCAACGTATCTGCTAAACAGGAGTGATGCATCTAAACAATGATGGCTTAGGATTCTTTCTACTACTCAGGTAGTATTTTTTATTGTCGCATTTGTCACAGTAGCACTCTTTGCTGTCAGTAGGTAACCAAGGTATACTGGGTGAGCAGAAAGAATGCAGAGGGCCTCATGGCATCTTGTGCTTTTCCCATCCCATTAGCCGAAATGCCAACCATGCCTACTGGAAGATCTGAACAGACTCTCAATAGGCAATTTATCAGTCCAAGTAAAGAACATATCTTATGCCGCATACATCACTTGTAATTTGTGAAATTGTAGAGAGTAAGGGAGATAGCCTTGAGAAAGATAGGCCCAATCTGTTCTTAAAGCGACAAAGATATGGCTTCAGTCCAAAACAAGAAGAAGGTATGCGTTCAGGCAGACACCTCCCAAATTCACATGAGTATACATCATACATCATAAATCATAAATCATATCTGAGATGATTTACATGAGATCGTAAATCATATCTGAGATGATGTAACCCTAGACAAATGTGCTTCTTGACATTTTACTCTTATTCATAGGGGTTTTCTCTCTTAAATTAACTCTTTAAACCACCCTCTGCAAAAAAAACAAAATAACAGCAACAACCCTACACAATTCTAGGTTTTCTGTGTAGTTGAGGCATTTATTTTGTAAACCAGAATAAACTATCTTGGATGGCATCCATGCTCTAAAGTCAAATTATTTCTTAAGTTTCACAGAAACTTGATGTTCCAAATCTTCCACCAAAACATATCGCAAGTTGCACGCTGAATTGTATCCCTTGCCGATCCGCTAAGGGCAGCATAACAGGTAAATTCTGCTTTTTCCAGCATGGAGCTAGACTCCTCTCTGCCTGTGGTTTCAAAGATATTCAACATCTGGCCTAAAAGCTCATACATCAGTAAATGACTTCAAGAAATACGTTTTCTTCCATTGACGGGACCAGCATATGTTTAATGAAGTCCTGCTATGGCCAATGAGGGTTCTTATCAAAATGGGCATAGAACTGCAAAACAAAGCGAGGGACATCTGATGTTCTGACATTGCTGAAGACCTCCTTTGGGGAAGGAATATACCAACAGCTCACTCCTCTTTGTAGTTACTATGCTCTGCTCTGGCAGTTGCATTGCTAGAGAAGTGGGCATCCGATTGCAACATGAATTAAGCATGAAGGAAACAGGGATTGCCCATTTGGGGCTTGGCCCATATTCTCCTGCCTGGTCTTTCTGCCTGAAAGCTACTTGGGTTTTCCTCCCTTTGGGCACAATCCAGCAGAAAGTGAAATGCTTTCTTCAAATATTAATAGGAGAGATGTCAACTAGAAATGATGCATTACCAGATAAGGCCAATTTAGGAAAAGGTGTATTTGGAGTCTATCGCATCACTCAGCCCCATTTATAACAAACTCATTTCCTGAGTGTGGATGTTGATATACCCTGGATGATGCCATTTTAGTAGAGGAAAAGTATATGGACCTTACCATGGAGTGCCATGTCTCACAAACACTAATACAAGCCAGAAGGATCCCAGTCTGAGATCCCCACTTTCTACCTGACTTCCAGGGTGTCTGTATGGAGCTAGTTCTCTACATGGATTGGTGGTAGCTGGACAGGTAGCCACACTACCACTGCCAGTTACTGAATGGGGAGATTTCCCTCATCAGCTGGAATCCAGGTATTGCAGAGGATTTCCCTTCCTTAGTAGGACAGAGCATTTCAATAAATGGCTCTGGTTTTCTGCTTTTGACCAGGCTGGCAAGGCCCAAGGAGGTTCTGGAATGAGTGGTGCTTCATTACAAACCCAAAATCACAGTAATAAAAAAAAGAAAAAAGAAAAATGTTTATTTTAATAAAGGCAACTAAGGAGAGAGGTGAGGTGATAAATGTCAAGTTTACACGGCCTATCTGTATATTGTAGTTAACAATTATTAATCTGAGCAAAGAGAGGAAGGGAGCATGGGAACAAACCTGAAACTGCAATCAAATCTGGATTTTACAGAGTATCACAAGGAAAGGGTATATAGATTTGACAGAATGGACATAATTTGTAGATAATGTATGCAAATATTATGTAAAATGTATATACCAATTACGTAAATAATGTGACTTTATAATGTACATAAAAGTTGTTTTTTTCCATTCCATCCAAAGTGTATTGTTTGGGGGCAGAAAGTAAAATAGAGGTTTTACGATATACATACTGGAGCAAAAGCAACAATAAGAAGAAATTAAATACCTTGATGTAATTGTCTACAGCACTGTTTCTCAACCTTGGGAACTTTAAGATGTGTGGACTTCAACTCCCAGAATTCCCCAGCCAATACGCTGGCCTAAGGAATTCTGGGAGCTGAAGTCCATGCTGGCTGAGGAATTCTGGGAGCTGAAGTCCATGCTGGTTGAGGAATTCTGGGAGTTAAACTTCTCAAGGTTGAGAAACACCGGCCTCTAGTTTCTTGGCCAAATTTATTTTACTCCCAGGACTTTGGGGTAGAAAGCCATCCTCTTATAATGAGGCTGAGAAAATCTGTTTCTTAACCAGCTTCCTTTTCTTGAGGACTTCCAGCCAAGCCTCCCTGGGAATGAAGAAACTTCTAACTTCTTTTCTTCATGAATCCCACACCCCTTCCCCTCACTGGAAGAGGGCCCTTGTCTGAGAACTATAGAGTCACCAATTTGTGAGCAACCCTCTCGGTCTCATAGAAGATATGATTTTCCAATTGCAACATTTGTATTAATTACATAAACTAGATGGCATAAAAAAGATGGTAATTCCTTCTCCCTACCCCTTTTTTTCTTCCACACAGCAAATTTGACTCTGGATCCAAGCACAGCTCATCCCCAGCTCTACGTATCTCCTGATTTGAAAAACATGAGATGGAAAGACATGAAACAGAATGTGTACAGCAGTCCTCTGAGATACGACGTTATGGCCAGTGTCCTAAGCCATGAGAGCTTTACCTCTGGGAAGCTTTGCTGGGAGGTGGAGGTGGTGGAGGGAGGAGACTGGTGGGGGGTGGGAATTGTTAGGGAGTCTGCAAATAGAAACGGGCCAATTGTCCTTGAACCTCGTGGGGGTTACTGGGGAGTGCAGCGAATTGATGGAAAGTATGAGGCGATCACTCAGTCCAGGACAAATTTGGCATTGTGCCATCCCCCAAGAAGGATCCGAGTTTCCTTGGACTATTCAGAAGGCCTTGTGGCATTTTTTGATGGCGATACGCATGCTGAACTCTTCACTTTTCCTAAAGCAAATTTTGCTGGAGAGAAGATTCACGCTTGGTTCTTGATCTATAAGTGGAATGGACAGCTCCTTCTCCACCCATGAAATAATGGTACAAAGGAGGTCATCATGTTGGAAGAACTTCAGACCACCTGCCTTAAGCTCTCTTCTACTCCTTCTGTTCCTCTCTGCCTTCCACTACCATGCACCCCTTTGACTTCCTTTGTCCTTTTCCCTCTATCGCAATTACAAATGCCTCCTCCACAACCACCAAGGTCTCTTCTAGATCAACAGTTTCCTGAACTGCAAGAATTAGCTATGTTTCAAAATAAAAATGTCCTTCTAACTCAAAGAACTGGAGGAATAAATCATGTTTCAGTCTTTCTCCTGAATTTGAGAACTTTGCTGGAAACCTTGACTTTGAAAGCTCAGCTGCCAACCCATCACCCAAACATGTATCTTCTGGCCACTGGCTCTCTCTGTGCTGCTGGCAACTCCCAGTCCCAAACTTTCTGCTCTGGCTCCATTATCAGTGGGTCAGACGGACTGTCCCCAGTCAAGGAAAGACAGAGCCGGGCATTCTGGACACTTGCTTCTCTTATCTCTGCTCCCTTATGTATCCTGATGTACTAACCAGATAACTGAAGTCCAATATTTAAGGAAGGACAGAACCCCAGATGTTTTAGAAAACACAGATGTATGTACATTTAAGCACAGAAGAGAGGACTTCTCTGGGAAATCCTGACGTGTGGTAATTATAATAAGCTAATGCTACCGTAAGAAAGAGGAAGATTTGAAGGAAATCATGACTACATTGATGCACTTTCATCGGCCAGATTATCCCTAGATGTGTATTTAAGCCTTTGAGACCTCCACCCAATGCTCACTGCAGTTTAAATTATCCCCCAATTCCATATTCTTTTTCATTCCATTAATCCCTGAGCAAAAGATCTCAGCAAGGCCAAAGGTTAATTTCTTGCGCGATGCCCTTTCAGACAAAAAACTTACACAAGAGTTTACAAAGACCAGAATTAAGATAGTCTGCAGATTTAGAGTTGAAAATCAAAACACAAGGAAAAGAGGCATGGAAAGGAAGTGTGAAAAAAACCCTCCAGCACTAGATTCTTACTTACCAAATTTGGCAATCGGACCTGGATATAAGCAGGTTTGCAGTCTCCTTGCTGTCCTATTCTCCTTCTATGATCCCCTTCAAACAGAAATAGAACAACTATAGCAAAAGGAAGCAAAGATAGTACCAATAGTTATAGGTGCCTTAGGCACAATCCCAAAACATCTGGAGCACCACCTGAAGACCATCAGCATTGACAAAATCACCATCAGTTAATTGCAAAAGGCAGGTTTACTTGGAACAGCTTCCATCCTGCAACGATACCTTTAACACCATCAAACAGCAACATCTGCCTATCCCGAGTCCTTGGCAAGGACTCGATAGGTGAATAAAAATGCCAGATCCAGTCTAAACATCTAGCTGACTGTGCGACCAATCATCATCATCATGCAAACAAATATAAAGAAAAATAGAATGCAATATAATAATTCTAAATCCAGCATTGATGGCTTGTTCATGTTGACTCTCCTTGCTGCTGGATGACAGTGGAAGCTATTCCTCCTTTTGTTCAGGGCTTGACCTTCACCCCATCTATAATCATCAGCTGCATATATTTTGGACCTGATGGCTCTTTTGATCCATGCTGTACATTGAGGAGCACGTTCTGCTTAGCACGATTGATCAAACAGAGCGTTGTGAGCTAATTAAGCTGACAAAGTGTGTTTGACGATTATTATCTTCACACATGGAATTTCCTAATAGGAATGTGTACATTAATCAGCCACATCACTCACTTAACACGGTAGCGAGAATTGCTATCACGAGGAGTATCTACACCACAGTCAGCAAAAGCCCTTGGTATAGATCTCGTTCCTGTTCTTCTCATAGGTGCCCAACCACAAAGTCAAAGTGTTCCCAGTCTCTTATATTCAGATTCTAATTAAAGCAACCTTAAACTCCTCACCATCTATAGCTACTTCTTTGCCCCTATCAAGTCCCAGCTTGCACAGAGCCTCTTGATGGGAAGAAAGACGGGTGCCCAGACATACTGCGGGACCTGCTTGGCTGGTTCAGATGCACCTAGGCATTCACTGTTCATAGATGTTTTCTATGTTAATTTAAGAAAGAAAATAGCTTCTCATGCTATGTATTATTCTTCCGAGCATAGAATTAATCAGTACAAAACCTGATGCCATCAGTCAAGATGGCTTGAAAAGAGGATCAGATACATTCATGGGCATGGTGACTAAATAAAGTTTCTGTATTCTGAGCTTAGTACAGAAGGCTGGGAAGAGGAAATAGCTGGAAGGAACTGGAATGACAGGATCTCATTCCATATAATGCTGATCTCAGCCCATATAGTGCTGAAAACACCTGTCATCAACTTACTATCTAGCAGTACTTCAAGTACTAGACCTTGTAATATGAGTTCTGGGAGCAATATGGCAGGCCCATTGCCTTAAACCTCTGATTGGAAAAAGTATCTGAATGACCTCTGTGAGAAGCCAACTGTTGACTAAGTCAGTGATGGAGCACTGTTTTCTATCAAGAGCCAAACAGAAGAACGTAGGCCACATCAGATCAAGGAGATGAGTGGCCCATGAATATACATGAGAAGCCAAGATGAAACATCTCAGTTCTAACAGATTAATGTTTTCTTGCAATGTTTTCTCAGCTGAAGGTTGTATTTAGCCTTTGAGAGAAATGTAGGGAACAGGAATATAAAAGTGTGCATTAAGTACATTTAGATGGAGCCCAAACTAACAGCATGTTTTAATGCACACTGAAATACTTACATTAAGCTCACATTCATTTACTGTAATTCTGATGGGAAGGAAAGAGGGATTGTTTGCAGCAAACAAGGATTTGAAGAAATCTCAAGGAGACCTCCAAAGGTATGCAGAAGAATTCATGATGCCATCACATGCTCACCAGCAATGGAGTCCTGAGCCAGTAACTCTCATGGCCACAAACTGGACTGGTTTTGTCACTGCTTTGCACTGCAGCAACCACAACTCCTTCCCGCTCCTTTCCCTGATCTCCTCCTCAAGATTTGGGGTGAACTTCTGGAGCTGAACTTACTACAACAGGCTGAGAAGAGGAAGCATATGGAAAGGGCAGGAATGGCTGGATCTCATCCTGAATAGGGCTGAAAATATCTAATTACCTAGTGGTCATCTTCAGGTCAGAACTGGCCCAGAGGGCCTCAGTTGCCTATAACTGATTATTACTAAGGGAAATCTTTACTGGCATAGAAGTTGGTTTTGGTAATTGCATTGTTGGCTGTTTGAAAAACCTCAGAGTTGTCACTTCCTCTTGTGAAGACGGTTAGACTTGATCTAAGATGGATGAAGATGGATATATGAATATAGACCCAACAGGAGAGATCATCACATGCCTGCTCCCAAAACAACCAAAGGTATTGACTTAAAACTCTCTGTTTGTCCTCTACTGCACTCTACATTAGCAGAAACTAAAAGAAGGAACATTAAGAAAAGGGAGAAAGTGAATCCAGCCCCTGGGCCTTTTCTTTTGTGCTGGCCTTGCTCTTCTATCTCTCATAGGTAGGTGCCTAAGCACAAAGTCCAAAAAATGTTTTTCCATGAAGAAGAATATAGAAAGCAGAGGTTGAGGTTTTTAAAATCACAATAAATTTGTCCTTTGAGTACAATGGGACATAATCCTGGACAGATTAAAAAATATTTTAACTTGTCAAGGCAGCGGTACTTTTTCTAGATTGAACTTCCTACAGCTTTCCCTCTCTCCCTCTCCCTTCCTTCCTTCCTTCCTTCCTTCCTTCCTTCCTTCCTTCCTTCCTTCCTTTTACAAGGAGGTCCAAGAATCCCACTCTTGCCCTGATCAGACTGTTCATGGCTTCATTTTCTACTGTTTTTCTCTTCCTCCATCATCAAACAACCAAGTTATATTATATTGTATGCTAATTGCCTGTAATTTATTGATATTCACGATAATTCAGCAAATAAATTGGGCTTCTTCCACTTCAACCTTGGAAGTTATTTCACCGAATCTGGAATCAGATCCCTCATTCACCTGTCCCAGACAAACGTGACATGATTTTGTACCCCAAAATCTCCACCATTGATACAACCAGTAGCCTAATCCTTACCTTCACCCTAACCCTGGATTTCAGGCTGAAAAAAGATGTTGGCACAAAAACCAGAATCTCTACTCTAACCCAATTCTTACAGCATTTGATGCAAGTGATTCACATATTTGATGTTTCTGAATATTTAAAACAGCAAGCTTGCTGCACGTACATGGACTGGGTAATATGTTATGTACTTTGCTGGTGTTCACATCTGAGGAGACTTGAGTGGCCAGTTTCAGTGTCTTGATCTATTTTATTTTAATATTTTACCGTATTTTACTTGCTTCCTTTCCCATCTAGGAACTGGGGTGCCAATCCTCCTGAATGGATTAATAATTAAGACCTATGGAACAGAGTAGGTCCGTTTTATTTAATTTATGCCAATGAAGAATTGAAATTGAAATCAGCAGAACTATCCAAGTGTTTAAATAACAGAATATCAGAACAATTGACGAACATGGAAACCCTAGTTTACATCCTGGATGTCTCTTCTCTCTTATTTTATTTACTTCTTATCCATAATATTCAGGGAATTCTATTTTCAATACTTTGGATCCCAAATCATGGAGCATTTCCCCCCATTAGCTCACATGCTAGAAAAGCATGGTTCAGTCCTAGCTTTGTATTTTGTCATTCCTTCTGCAGCTTTCTCAAATGTCATATTTCTCTCTTTTTGGGGGAGGGGGATCCTTATTTATTTATTTTAACAAGTTTTACCAAAAAGCCTACGAAATGGAAAAAAAAAGAGAAAAACATAAAAAAGAACAAGAAGCATAAGAAACTAACGAAAAGAAAAAATAAAGGGCAGGCAAAAAGGTTCTCTTCATGAAAGAGTTGGAGGTGTGGATCAAAGGGTCCTGTCTGTTTAGCGTCTCATGACTTACTAAGCCCACAGAGGCAGTAGAGTGTCGGTAGTCAGGAAGTTACTCTGTGTTCTTTTATTGTACAAAACAATTTATAAATAAATAATATAAATACAATAATATTTTATTTATTTTATTCTTTATTATGTCATTCTACCTGGTTTTTGTCTAAGGCAGGGACCTCTTTGGGGTTTGTGGATAGATTTCAGGGGGTCTGTGAACTGGGATGGGAAAAAATATCCCTCTTCATTTTCACTAACCTTCAACTGAAATTTAGCTTTTTGTTCAATAATGAAAGTAGGCAATAAAATAATGTATAGCTTCTAGACTCCAAAAATGTTTATTAACTTCAATAAATCTCACTACTTAGAATTAGTTGATTTTTTGAAATATTTTGATAACTGAGCAACATTGGTTTCCTATGTAATACAATCTATACATTTTATATGATGCATTTAAACAGATGTTTTCTCAGAAGGGATCAGTACATTTCACTGCAGGAGTCTGTAGGTTGCACCAGACTCTCAAAGGGGTCCATGGCTCAAAAAGGTTAAGAACCGCTGGTTCTTAAAGATTCCTAAACGGAGGTCCCTCCCTTCTGCGCTACATCCTAGGCACGCTTATATGGAACAAATGCTCTTTGACTCTCCTACTGGTAGGATGTAATTACTAGGGCTAGGCTTTGCCTATTCCAATAATGTATTTCCTGTAAATAAATTTCCCCTTGTGACAGTTATAAAATGAGCTTCACTAATCTCTGCTTAGCTTAGATTCCCCCTGTAAGGAATGCTCTCTCTCTCTCTCTCTTCCATCTCCTACAGAAATCAGGTTTTCTACTTGGGGCCAAAGTTCAGTTGAACTACTTCGAGTGGTAGATGAAATCCTCTATCCGCAGCCCCATATGTTGCCCATCTTTGACCTCAGCAAAAGCTGCTATTTAATTTTTCATCATCCTCTCACTGCATGTTCTTAAAACACCTTCCCTGAACATCTTTGTAAGAAGGCAACCTATTTAACTTTGAAGCAGATGGTTAGGCTGTAAGGGCTCTTGGTTTTATACTTTATTTTAACTTCTATTTTTGAATCTTTATTATCATTATAACTAGGAATATTTGCTGATGGATGCCTTGAATGTTAAAAAGAGAAAAAAACAACAACCATAATCATTTATTCATTGGATTTACAGTATATCTCACTTTTCCTCCAGGTGCTCAAGGCA